GCAGGAAATACTGCTTGCAGATTAATGAGCTCAGATAACCCGTGGTGGGTACTGTCTGGGGATGCTGCAGACAAAGGGTTACAGCATCTGAGTATTTAGTGAGCACCTACTACATGCCCAGCCCTTTCTTAGGATTCATATGCTCTTCTAAACCATCGAATATATACATACATACATACATACATAAATACATAAACAAATTAAAAAAATAAACTGCAGAATCAGCAGTTCGTTATTTTTTTTTTTATCAACATAAGGCCTCGTCTCCCCAGGAGCCCCTACTCCTATCGCATCAATTCCCATTTAAGGGAAAAATCAGAAAGAGCTGACCACATGGGAAGTTGTGTTTCTTTGAAAGACGCTAACTGGTGTTCAGAAGAGCAAGACCTTGGGCTACTGTAACCAACAGTGGCCAGCTGCTCAGGCTGGGTCCCGCCCCTGTGAGCAAGGCTGCATTTCTGGGACGGCGACACTAATTCCGGGAGTCTCCTGGTCTTCTTAGGACTACAGTGCAAATTTCTGCTCTTAAATCTAGGGCACCACCAAGTTCCCAAGTTATCCTTAGATGAGAAGGGGGAAGATCCTTTCCAGTCAGGCTGTAAAAAGCAAACAGGCAGTTGGAGAGAGCTGCCCATCCCAGGCACTCTTGCAGCTATGGTGACTGTTCGAATCATTGTTCAAAGGAGGTTGAAAAAGTAAAAGAGAAGGGCTGAAGATAATGAGGGGATTTAGGTCTTTCTATAAAAAACAGCAGCTTCCAATAGAGGAAGAGAGGATGGGTATCTAGTTACCCAACCCACAAAGGGCAAAGTCCCTGCCCTGGCACAGTCTGATCACTGGGATGAAGCTGCCTAGAGGCAGAGCAAGCCTTTTCTAGGTTAACGTAATCAGATGGATATGGAACACCTGCCACTCACTGCAAAGCATTTCAGAGCTAGCTGGCTGCATTCACCTGCTTAATAAAGCCAGAATCTGAAACAAACCCTCTTTACCCAGTTTCTTGGAGCCCTGTAGTAGAGAACATGCCTCTAATTAGAGCCAGCCTGCACAGTGGTGGGGCTCAGCTAGACTGTGGTTTGATGCTGCCAGGCAGAAGAGTTACCACCTATTTTTCTAGGCAAGCAAAATGTAGATGATGTTTAATATCAGATATCTCTCCAGGGAAAGAACATACTGGAGCTCAGAGAAATAATGCAAAAGTTGGAATCGATTTTTGGTTTGTGTCTTTTAAAAATAGAATACTCAGGTTTTTGTTTGTGAGCAGTGCAGTAACTGGGAAAATTATTTAGGCTTTCACAGTAGTATATCAGGGTATTTTAGAGATGAAAAAACTGAGACTCAGAGAGGTTGAGTAACTTGCCCAATGTCACAGTCACAAATGGCAGGGCTGGGATTCAAACCCCAGGAGTCTGCATTTTAAATGTTCTTTTCTTTTCTTTTCTTTTTTAAGAAAGTCTGTATTTAAGAGCTCAGTCTTAACCCATGTGGCACACTCAAGAGGGATGTGGTGTTCTGAAGGGAGTGGTTGCAAGTGACTGTGTCCAGCCTCCCAGGGAGAGATGTTCAGTCTGAGGTCAGTCCATGACGGCTTTTAGGTTCTTTGAAGTCGAGGTATTTCTACTCTGAGGATCTTTCCTCTAATGGTGTAGGTATAAGGGTGTTCACTGCAGCATTGTTTTGTTAAAAGCGGGATGCACTGGTCCCCAGTATGGGTACCCCGTGCCTCGTGTCAGTCACCATGGGACCTTGGAGGGTTGCTGCCACCACCACTAAGGACAAGGAGACACAAGTGTGAGGACCTCAAAGTGGGATAATATACATGTAAATGTTACACAAGAACCAATTAACCTTAACCTTATAGACAGAGTTCATGTTTTCTAGCACCCAGTGTAACTTGTAAGAATTTCAGTGGTAATGAAACATATTTTGAAGTTAATTTCCTCAAGTCCATATCTTGTCAAAAAGTAAATGGCCATTCATACAAAGTGGTGGCTGCACTATTTCTAGGATGCTTGGGAGCAGATCAGCTTTAGCCTGGACACTGGGTTTTATGGGACCCTAATCAACTTCATTCTTACTTCAATGCAGGTTGTTGGGCCTTCAGGTGGAGAAAGTTACATTATAGATTATGATGGAAACACAGACTTAAAGACTATTACTAACAAAACATTTAGAAAAAGTTATATCCTTAAATCTTTTTTTTTTTTTAAAGAAAAACAGAATGAGGCTGCTTGATTTTATTTTATTTATTTTTAAATATTTTTCTTTTATTGATTTTTTTTGAGAGAGAGAGGAAGGGAAAGGGAGAGAAACATCGATGAGAGAGAAAATCGACTGGCCACCTCCTGCATGCCCCCCACTGGGGATCGGGCCCACAACCTGGGCATGTGCCCTGACCAGGAATCGAACCGGTGACCTCTTGGTGCATGGGTCAATGCTCAACCACTGAGCCACACCGGCCAGGCAAGGCTCCTTGATTTTAATAGACAGCTCCCAGTATGTGGATTTCCAGATTTTCCTTCTTCCTTCTTCACTTTATGGGTTCTATATAATATTTTGTCATTATTTTTGTTGTTTTACTTAAAAGTATATATTCTGAAATTTATTTAATAGGAAAAAAGAAAGAGTAAAGGGTTTGAAGCAACCTAGATTACAAACAGATTGGAAAAACAAATTATGGTGCAAACACAATGGAATGACTGACAGCTGTAGCCAAGACAGAAGCTCCTTATGTACTGACATGCAACCATCACCAGGGCACAGAATAGTTGCGCTCATTATCCGCTGTGCAGAAGGAGAAGACCGCATGTGTTTTCCACTTACAGAGGGATCTCTGGAAGGACAGCAGGGAACTGGTAACACTGCTGCCTCTGTGCACAGAAGTAGTCACTGGGGGCAAGACTGACAGGCTTTTCACTTTAGGTCCTCTTGTACCTTTAAATTTCAAACCATGTGACCGTGTTACCCATTCCAAAAATGTGTATCTGGGGAGCACTTGAGATCTTGCTGCCTGGCATATTTTGTCAGTTTGGCGTAAATAAACTCATAAAATTGTTTTAAAAATTGTCTATCTGTACTCTTCTAAAAGCAAGTATGGAATGTGAACTTAAAAATGAGTAAGTAGCCCTGGCCGGTTTTGGCTCAGCGGTTAGAGCGTCGGCCTGCGGTCCGGAGAGACCCGGGTTCGGTTCCTGCTAAGGGCACGTACCTCGGTTGCAGTTTGTCCCCAGCCTTGGTTGGTTGTGCGGGTGGCAGCCACTCGATGTGTCCCTTTCACATCGATGTTTCTGTCTCTTTCTCTCTCTCCCTCCCACTCTATCTGAACAAGGAATGGGGAAATGTCCTCGGGTGAGGATTAAAATAAAATAAAATAATAAAAATAAAAAATAAAAATGAGTCAGTAGCCCTGGCCGGTTTGGCTCAGCGGTCAGAGTGTCGGCCTATGGACCATAGAGTCACGGGTTCAGTTCCCACTAAGGGCACATACCTCAGTTGCAGTTTGTCCCTGGCTCTGGTTGGGGTTATGTGGGTGGTGGCCACTCGATGTTTCTCTCTCACATCGATGTTCCTCTCTCACATCGATGTTTCTCTCTCTCTCTCTTCCCCCCTTTCTCCCTCCTGCTCTCTCTGAAGATAAATGCAAAAATGTTAAAAAAAAAAAAAAGTAATAAATAAGTAGCCTGTGTGGGTCTGTTGGTTGGAGCGTTGTCTCATACACGGAAAGACGGAGGGTTCGATTCCCTATCTGGGAACACACATGGACTGAGGGCTCAATCCCCAACAGGAGGTAACCAATCAGTGTCTCTCTCCACCCCCCTCTAAAAATAAGTAAAAATGTATATATGCTCATGCAATCACATAAACAAAACACAAGTATAGAATAAACAGATTATCCCATAAAGATGGTAATAATTTTTTCTTCCTTTTCTGTTTCTTCAGAATTTTTATGTGGTTATGATAGATATTTTTGAAGTACTGTTCTCTATTTTTATTTCTTCCCTGCACACACCAGATTCAATCAGTACACAAGGTGACAGATGATGAAGACAAGGGACTCCAGAATCCCAATTCAGTTTACTCAACAAAGGAGAACACCTACCATCCCTAAAAAGTTGTCCAGTCAATAGCTTCCAATCCTTTATGAAAACTACAAAGGATTCTCCAGGTAGGCATAAAAAGGTAAAGGAAAACTACCTTTTCCACCTGGAAGCAAGTCACTGGATGACAAAATATAATCCACAGCTAGTAGAGATCCTTGTTTCAAGTGTCTACTCTTCAGCTTCCTGCACTGTTCCTCGTTCTCATCACTGGTAACCAAAGATATCACCGGTCTTCCCAAGCTTCTATCTCCCAAACATCAGGCTGGTTTTCTTCTGTTTAGGAGGTAGCAAGAGAGATGGCTTCTTCTTTTTTAGTCCTCACCTGAGGATAGTTTTCCATTGATTTTCAGATAGCGTGGGGGGAGGAAGACGGAAAGAGGGAAACATCGATAGGAGACAGACATCAGATGGATGCCTCCCGCACAACCCCAACCACGGCTGGGATCAAACCTGCAACTGATGCACGTGCCCTTGACTAGAATCGAACCCAAGACTCTTTGGTCTGCAGGCTGATGCTCTAACCAGCAAGCCAAACCGGTCAGGGTCTAATTTTTTTTTTAATGCATACACATAAAATCATTGCCCGTAATTTCTGACAATGGGTAAAAGACTTGGAAACTACTTCCAAATCTCAGCTGAAGAAGGGAATTCAACCCACACCAAAACCAGGTAAGCAGTAACCCACCTTTGGAATGAAAAGGAAACACAACAGTCAGGGGCCTAACAGAGCCCATCTGCTATGGCCATGACCTTGGGCTCGGCTTCTTAGGCTGACATTCACCTGAGTCTATGATCTGATATAGTCTCTTTCTTGGTTGCAAATTATGAGCTGCCAATGTTTACCTGTGAGACTGTCTGGACGCTGGAAGGGAAGGAAGATAAATACACCAAAGCCCAGCTGAGCAACTGTTAAGTTTTACATTTTATTTCCAGGAAACGACATCTTGTTTTCACAAAGAGGTATGCCATCCTCTCAAATAGAGGCCACCTCAGCTCTCAGGGGCAGCCACAGGGGTACATTCAAGCTGTCCACAACAAATATCAACAGAGGTACCAGAACAGTAACAAAAACAACAAATTTAAAAAAGCAAACAGAAGTACATAACCATTCAACATGTAGTGAGGCAGAGTCTGCTGAGTCCCCGGAAGCCATTGGGCGATGGGCGCCGTGGTGCTTCAGACAATGGTGCAGGGGGGCTGGCCAGCACGGAGGCTCGTGGCCGACACTTCCTACCCAGACTCTGTCCCTTGAGGGTCTCCCATGCTCTGTCCCAGCACAGCTCAAGACCAGTTCACAGAGAATCCTCCAGACCATCCTGAGCTCCATTGCCTGGCAGTCTTTCAAAGGCCCCTGCAGCACAGTCTTCACAATAGTCTTTGCTTTGGAGAGAGAGAGAAGAGAAATAAAACAGGAATCACCATGTCCTTTCTCTGGCCTCCCTTCTGCCACCCTCCATCTCTTCCCCAAAGAGCAGCCACGGAAAGAGAAAACAGAGGTCGATCATGTCACTCTGCTCAAAGCCCGCTCCTCTCTTCCCCCAGAGTAAGAGTTAAAGTTAAGGTCCTTCCAAAGGTCTGTAAGGCCCCAGCAAACCTGCCTCCTGCCAAACCTCCTCCCCCTCCTGGTTCCTCTCTCTACTGTAGCCACACTGGCCAACACCCAAGCACGCGCCCCTTCCCGTCCCCGCACAGCATGGCCCCTGCCTGCAGAGCTTGACTCAAGTACCTCCTCCTCGGTGATGCTCCTTGGCCACCCCAGCAAAAACTGCCGACGCTGTCCCCATCACTCCTGACCCTTTCTTTCTCCATAATACTAATCACATCTCACTTACTAGGTTTTCACTTCTCTTTCTGTTCACTGCACCTAGAACAGTGCCTGGCACGAAGCTGGCCCTCAATAAATCTGTTGGAGGAAAGAGGGAATCGCATCCACAGTGACTGGCCGAGAGCGGTGCGAGTTCTTGGACGTCCAGAGGGGAAGGGGTCAGAGGGGCTACTAACTGGCCTCTGATCTTTTCCCATGGCTTCTGCTTCCTCGATCCTGGAGAAGCGGGAATCTGGCCTACACCAAGGGCACAATAAAGCCACCAAGGAAAGCGTCCCCTTCCTTGAGATCGCGGTTTGGAACACCAGCAGGAGCATGACAGGTTATAAAAGCTACTTGCGCCCACTCCTGGGTGGCCCTGGAGGGGCTGTGCCGTCAGCCTGGAGAGCGGAAGAACCTGCACGGCCCCCTCCTCTCAGCTGAGGGCCTCGCCTGACAGCTCAGAAAAGTGCAGAAGCCACAAGAAGGAAATTCTCTCGACTGCCCTCAAGCAAGTTTCCTGGCCTGCCCTCCCAACATTATTCCCTTCTCTCTGGAAACAGAGGACGTACCCTTCTACTTTCAAAGACCTTCTACTTTCAAAGACTGAATTCCTCCGTCTGGGCTCTGCCTTCCCCCCTCCCCTGCCTTTCCAGGAACTGTCCCCATCCACTATCTCAGCTTCCAGCAGCTCCTTCTCCATAGGCTCCTTCTAATCAGCAACTGAACATGTTAAAATCTCTCATGTCTCTTCCAGCCGGTGTGGCTCAGTGGTTGAGTGTTGACCCATGCACCAAGAGGTCGCTGGTTCGATTCCCGTCAGGGTACATGCCCAGGTTGTGAGCCTGATCCCAGTAGGGGGCATGCAGGAGGCGGCTGATCAATGTTCTCTCATCAGTGTTTCTGTCTCTCTCTCCCACTAAAGGAAAACATAAATTTAAAAAATAAATAAATAAAACCAAATCTCTCATGTCTTTAATAAACAAAAAAAATTCCTTTACCCAGACTTCCTTCTCCAACGACAGCCCTCTCTAGGCCCCCAGCAATGGAGACACATTTCTCCAAGAACTAGTCTAGTCTTACTCATGTCTGTTCCTTCACCACCAACTCATTCTACAACTCACTGCCAACTGGCCGCTGACCCAAACAGTCCCCCAAACTTGTCCTAGATAAAGTCATCCATGTCCCACACACCTGCTACATCGAAAGGGCAATTTTTCACCCTTATCTTCTCAGCTTTTCACACTGCTGATCCCTCAGTTTGTAACACTCAGAGATGTGCAATCATGGAAGACCTACCAAACACTCTCCTGGGCCCCGAGAACACCACGCACAGTAAGATAAAACACTTGTCCTCAGCTGATAAAGTGAGGGACAAGAACACACTAACAAATACAGTTCCAATCTTGTAAATATTTAAAAGAAATAAATAAGGAGATGTCTACAATGCAATAAGGGGCTACTTCAGCCAAGGGAGGGGTCAGAAAGGCTCACAGCACACCATTCCCACATGTGCCTCTTTTACAACTCTCTTTGACCACTCCTCACCCTCTGCCCACACACTCCTCTCCCACTACGTCCCTCCACTCACCGCCTGTCTGCCCTGCACACTCCTCTCCCACTACGTCCCTCCACTCACCGTCTGTCTGCCCTGCACACTCCTCTCCCACTACGTCCCTCCATTTACTGTCTGTCTGCCCTGCACACTCCTCTCCCACTACGTCCCTCCGTTCACCGTCTGTCTGCCCTGCACACTCCTCTCCCACTACGTCCCTCCATTTACTGTCTGTCTGCCCTGCACACTCCTCTCCCACTACGTCCCTCCATTCACCGTCTGTCTGCCCTGCACACTCCTCTCCCACTACATCCCTCCATTCACCGTCTGTCTGCCCTGCACACTCCTCTCCCACTACGTCCCTCCGTTCACCGTCTGTCTGCCCTGCACACTCCTCTCCCACTACGTCCCTCCATTTACCGTCTGTCTGCCCTGCACACTCCTCTCCCACTACGTCCCTCCACTCACCGTCTGTCTGCCCTGCACACTCCTCTCCCACTACGTCCCTCCGTTCACCGTCTGTCTGCCCCGGACACTCCTCTTCCACTACCGTGCCTTCAATGTTGGTGTTTCTCAGGGACAGGGACTTGACCTTTGGCTCTTACCACCCACAGAGAAGATCCCCAAATCTAGAATATTCTGGGCTCCAGGTCCACATATTTAAATGCCCTCAGGTGCTCTCAACTTACTTTTCTAAACAACTTCAGTCTAAAACGGAACTATCTCCCTGACAACCCGCTCCTTATTTCACTGAACGCACCATCACCCCCCAGCTGCCCTACAGAGACTGGAGTGACCCGCACTCTGAGCTCCCTTGTTTCTCACAGCAAACCAGCTCCACAAAACTGTCTGTAGATCCTCCCCCGCGAGTAACTGCTCAAGCCCATCCGCGCTCTCCATCCCTGCTGCTCTTTGTCTAGCCCGGCCATCAGCCTCGGCCGGAGCTGCTGCCTGTCCTTGTTCCCAGCACCATCTGTTCTCTCCACTGCAGCCACACTGACCGACGCAGAGACATATAAACACAGTCGTATCCCCACTTAACATCGTCTAGTTCCCCACAGCCCCCAGTCGAAGTCTTTTAGCCAGACTAGGAGGCCCGTGCGATCCAGGCCTGCCTGCTTGCACAGCCTCAGACAACGCACCCCCCAGCACTCCCCAGTCCCGCCACACTGCTCTGCTCTCAACCCTCAAAACCCTTGGCTTCCTTGCTTTTGGCCTCTGCTTCCAGTATGCACCATCTCCCTTTCACTTCCCTCCCTGCCCCCCCGCCCTCCGCCCGCACCACTCCTCGGGCCGAGAGACGTTCCCCAACCAGCCCAGCCCTGCGTCCGCACCGAAAGCTCCACTTTTAGTCCTGGCACCTGATGCTTAGTAGGGACTGAGAAAAAGGAAAAGCCCAGAGGAAGGGAGCAAAGAGGAGATGTTTCTTTGGGGCTGGTTCTGGTTCAGGTTTCACGGGCCAAGGGTAAAAGATCCAAACTCTCCTAGGAAAGCAGAAGCCTGAAACAGGAGCGTGCCTGGTCTCATCAGATTTCTTAAGAGCCGCAGCAACAGGACGTGGACAGGATACATCCAGCTGACACAGTCACCTCAATGGTGATGTACCTAGCTCTATGCTAGTCTAGGGGGAGGCAAAAGAAGGAAAAAGTGTCCACGACAAGTTCATGGACATCTGAACCCCATTTATCTGAGCTTGCTCTAAACAGTCCACACCCAGCACTAACTGCAGGAACCAGGACACTTGAGGAAGAGCTGCTCTGGTCAATGACATCAGTCTACACCTAACCACCAGTGGTTCTCTACAACAAGTAGTTCCTGGAGTCTGTCTGAAAAGTCAATCATAAGGCTGCATGTTAGTGGGAAGAGAGGATCCATTTTTTAGAGAGCGAAAATAACTGTTTTATCACAAAAAAAACAAAAACAAAAAAAGCCAGGAGATACTTCTGTTATGGAAAACAGCAAATGATCCGAAGTTCCTCCTGCTAGACCCCCCAGTGACCAGAGCCACTCACACTTACTTCTCTTGAAGCTCTAGCATGTGCTCATGTTCCTCCCCCAGGCCCTTCTCTCCGGCTGGTGGGCAGGCCTTGGCCAGCAGGTACTGGTCTTGCCCTCAGGACGACGTGGTGGTGATGGTGGTGGGCAGTGCTCACCTGAGCTCCCGACTCTGTGGGCAGGTAAGCAAAGGTCAGCCCTGGTCCCTTCACTCTGGCACAGCTCCCTCAAGCCCAGCCACGTATGCCTTTGGGGTACACTAAAGGGTCATTATCCTAGGAAGGCCAACTTCTAAGCGGTGTAAGCTAGTCTGGGTGCCTGCGGTGAGGTGGTAGCTTCTGGCGAAGGACAGAGGACACCCTACCACAGAGCACTAGTCAGAACAGGGTTCTGACCCCCAGATGGAAGGACCCTTCGGAAATATCAAGGACTACAGAGTCAACAAGAAATCCGAGGTTCCAGGACTTCCTGGGTGGCTAATCCATATTCCAACTGGTATCTTAGAAGCTGACTTCTAAGATCAGTCTCTTCCCCACTGGGTGAACAGTTCCTACGCTGCCTCTGTCAGTCATTTCCAACTGTGCATTCTGAGGTGCCAATAAGGGCAAGCGAGATGCTACTTAAAGGATGAGGAAAGAAAGAACAACAGGAGATAAAAGAAGAGGACAAAGGAAGGAAAGAAGGAGGGGAAGCAAAAGAAACCATCAGCAAAATGAAAATGGAACCCACTGTATTGGAGAACATATTCATCAATGATACACTGGATAAGAGTTAATCTCCATAATAGATAAAGAACTTATACAACTCAACATAGGAAGACAATCCAATTAAATAATGGGAAAAGGACCTGAGTCCAAACAGGACATACAAATGGCCACTAGACATATGAAAAAATGCTCAACACCACTAATCATCAGAGATGCAAATTAAAATTACATTGAGGTATCACCTCACACCTGCCAGATTGGCCACCATCAACAAATCATCAAACAACAAGTGCTGGTGAGGATGTGGAGAAAAGGGGACTCTAGTGCACTGCTGGTGGGAATGCAGACTGGTGCAGCCACTATGGAAAACAGTATGGAGGATCCTCAAAAAATTAAAAATGGAACTGCTTTCTGACTCAGTGATCTCACTTCTGGGAATAATATATCCCAAGAATCCCAAAACACCAATTCAAAAGAATATATGCACCCCTGTGTTCATAGCAGCGTTATTTATAATAGCCAAGATCAGGAAACAGCCCAAGTGTCCATCAGTAAATGAATGAATAAAAAAGCTGTGGAGCCCTGGCCGGTTTGGCTCAGCGGTTGGAGCGTCGGCCTGCGGTCCAGAGAGACCCGGGTTCAGTTCCCGCGAAGGGCATGTACCTCGGTTGCAGTTTGTCCCCGGCCCTGGTTGGTCGTGCGGGTGGCAGCCACTCGATGTGTCCCTTTCACATCGATGTTTCTCTCTCTCTCTTTCTCCCTCTCTCTCCCTCCCACTCTATCTGAACAAAAAATGGAAAAATGTCCTCGGGTGAGGATAAAAAGAAAAAAAAAAGCTGTGGTACATTTACACAATGGAATACTATGTGGCCATAAAGAAAAAGGAAGTCTTGTCTTTTACAATAACACAGATGGACCTGGATATTATGCTAAGTGAAATAAGCCAGTGAGAGAAAGACAAATACCACAGATGACCTCACTTATATGTGGAATCTAATGGACAAAATAAACTGACAAAATAGAAACAGAGACATGGATACATGAAACAGTCTGACAGCTGTCAGAGGGGAGGGGATGGAAAAGACTGGATGAAAGAAGGTGAAGGGATTAGCCCCAGAAGATATATACATAACCCGTAGACAAAAATGACAGTGCGGTGAGGGCCAGAGGGAAGGAAAGGAGGGAACAGGGATTGGGTAGAGGGGGGGAAAGGGGGGGAAATGGGGATACCTCTAAGTGTCAACAAAAAAAATAAAGAAAAATTTTAAAAAGCCAGTAAAAAAAAAAAAAAAAAAATACTGGCCAGGTGGCTAAGTTGGTTGGAGCACCATTCTGTACACCAAAAGGTTGTAGGTTCAATTCCCAGTCAGGGCCATACACAGGTTGCGGGTTTGATCCCTGGTCACGGTGCACATGGGAGGCAAGTGATTGATGTTTCTTTCTCTCTCACTCTCACTCTTACTCCTTCTCCCTCCCTCCCTCCCTCCCTCCCTAAAAATCAACAAAAACATATCCTCGGTAAAGATTAAGAAAAAATGTCAGTTTAGGGAAAAAAAAAATTTTTTTGTACTATTAAGAAAGAAACTTTTAGCCCTGGCCGGTTTGGCTCAGCGGTTGGAGCGTCGACCTGCGGTAGAGAGACCCGGGTTCGGTTCCCGCTAAGGGCACGTACCTCGGTTGCAGTTTGTCCCCGGCCCTGGTTGGTCGTGCGGGTGGCAGCCACTCGATGTGACCCTTTCACATCGATGTTTCTCTCTCTCTCTCTCTTCCTCTCTCTCCCTCCTGCTCTATCTGAACAAAAAATGGAAAAATGTCCTCGGGTGAGGATAAAAAAAAAAAAAAAAAAAAGAAAGAAAGAAACTTTTAGTTAATAAGTCTCCTAATTTTCTATCCCATGACAATTTTTGCGAAGGATAAATGTTTAAGTCAAAATTTCTAGAGTCCAGTGTTATACACGATTTGTATGCACACAGGTGAACACCCCACCCCATGCTACCCTTGCTGAGAGCCACTGTCCCTTAAACAAACACCATCACCCGCCGGGCAGGCATGCCGACTTCTCTTGATTCTCTCGGGACTGGACTGGGTGGATTAAAAGTGCTTGCCAACAAGTATTCTCCCTGGATGAGGTCGACTTGCCAGGCACTGTTACTCTGCCATTCCCCACACATTCCTTTACTCAGCTCTGTTTCAGCGAGGGACACTGGCAGCATCAGGGAGGAGCCTCCAGGTGGGCAGGCAGATACTCTCCTCGGAGACTGCCAACTCTCACGGCCCGTCTGGATCACCCTCCTGCTAGCTACAAGAAGCAGGCAAGAACCATGGGCTGTGTGGTCTGACCTGGGCTGATCTTCCTAGAGACCCCCAACCTCTGGATTCAGGAAAGCTGTGGTTCATAAACCTTTCTCCCACCCACCAACCTGAAGACCATGGCACACTCCCACAAGTAGCCCAGGTTCAATAGTACAGTGTCAAGGAAGCTGGGGAATGCAGTTTGAAAAAACCCCTGGATTGGAAATCACTGTTTAAAGGATCAACGAGATTTTATTTCTAGGTAATTTGCTTTCTTCTTTTCTAAGCACAATCCAAAGAAACTGCTAGGGAAAGCTAAAAATGGAACTGTTAACACTCTTGTTAACCAACCAACATTTAAAGAGAACAGAATGGGGGAGGGGAGCCACTGAGACTCACCAGCCGAGAGGGAGAGCCTCTGCAGGGGATAAACGTCTTCCCTGCAGAAAAATCTCCTGTCAGCGTCCGGGAGAGTTACAATTATTTATGCAACAAGCACTTTCTGGATGTTCCTTATCTGCCCCAGCTCCGGAACACCCTTTCTTCAACACAGGACTTGGCATCCTACCATTCCCTCCTCCTCTCTATAATCTGGCCACCCAGAGTCTACAAGGGATCAATGGCTAATCAGTCATGAGGCATTATACCTCCCACAGGACATGGGACTTGAAGACAACAACCAGCCAGGGAGATGAGGTTGGTCTTGGTGGAACCAGAGGCGGGTCTCCTTCTCTGAACTCATGCTAAGAGCAACCCCTGCCAGGAGGAAAACAGCCCTGTCAGACTTTGACAATTACAGGCTTGCCAATCCTTGTTCCCAGATCCTAAATTGGTCCTTTTTAAAATTCCCATGCACTGGGGATTAAACCAGCTTTCAGTTGGCAAGGAAGGTTGGTATGTGAACCAAGAATTTTCTCTAAACCCCACACTGCAGACCAGTGAAGCTGCGATGGTCTGGCGCACGTTTCCCTAATCAGGCCTCCGAACCTTCCGTGTCTTTAGAGAAAACCTCAAAGCTGCACTCACTGTGATAACTGTAGAAACTGAGACCGGTGCCAGAACGGCCTCAGCCAATGACTGCCACAGAGAAGCCGGTCTGGCTTACTGTGCAGGCTCCCAGTCTTACCAGAAAGGCAGAGAGATACCCTTTAGCCTTTGGAGAGAAAAGGGAGTTTGATATTCTTTCCCTTTCTAGTGCTGCATGAAGCCATCTACTGAGCTTGAACTTTTGAGAAGAAACCTAGTCAATGCGCTGGGTGAAGAAAGTACTTGGGTGTCCCCACCCCCATACAGTCCCAGCACACTCAGCTCAAAGCTGGTCAGATCTGGGCTCCCAGGCCGCTGCTCCCTCAGGAAGGAGAGAGGAAAGGACACAGAAGGCACTCCCAGTGCCCCAGGAGCCACCTGGCTGTCCTGCTGCTGCTCTGCACCACGGAGTCATTCTATCTCGTGTGGAGCACATGTGGGCACTACCAGGAACAAGCCACTGCTCCTCATACCTCTGGGCTTTGCTTGTGCTGAGTCCTCTGCTTGGAAAGCTACCCCTTAGGGAATCTTTAAAACTCACTTCAAAAGGCACTTCTTCTGGGAAGCTTTCTCCCACACCCCACCCGCCCAGGCCGGAGTGAGTGTCCTCTTCTCCGCAGCTTCCTAGCACCGTTGTGGAACTTGTCATACAGCCTACTTCCCTTTTGCTCTCCTCCACAGATGGCGAGTGCTGTGAGGCTGAGACAATGCCTGAGCTCCATTGCCTGGCATTCACCCTGGCCCGTAGTATAGTGTTCCTGTAAATGCTTATGGAATGATGGGAAGTGGAGAGGAAGAGAGATGGGATTCTACCAGAATCAAGTGTCCCCTGGGAGGTAAAAAAACAAAAACAAAAAACTCTGGGGGTTTCAAACTGGGCACAGGTCCTTGAGTATAACAGGCTTAAGCACACTCCCTGTTCAGTCCTGGCATCAGCCGGCTCTGTGATGGGCCTGCTGTCTGCTCTGGCAGACCACCTGAGGGCTGGCTCATACCACAGCTGTTCACAGCTGTTCACAAATCAGCATCCGATTGCTGGCCCTACTCAAAGTGGCTATATCTGCTGAAGGGCTAGAAGAAAGGAAGCAGTGGACAGAAGATCCTATTGTTAGCAGTGTGGCTTTTAAGCCTCTGAACTTAAAGAAAGGTACATCCAAAGACACACATGAATATGGCCAAGTGGTGGGAAACACCTGTAATGGCAGCAAGCTTCTGGTTCTTCTCTGATAGGCCTTTATGTGCAGCCAACTGATATCACAGCACTTTGGCTCTGAAGCTTTCTCAAGAGGTAGTGCTACACTAGGCTATCAGAGGGACTTAAAGTGGTTATCAAATCCACCTTGCTTCTATGCACTCTCATCCCTGCACAATAACCAATCCTTCTTATCCATTAAGTTCCTTGTGCTTTGCCCCAGGACATATCCTTTTGCCAAAATTTCATTCAAGTTTTAAGCTGAGTAGCTCTGCAACCCTCAGCACAGCAGGCTGTAGGTGTGATGAGATCACGTGGTTAAATAAGCAGATGTTCACTATGGAAGCATGGTTCATTAGGGAAACTTGCCTACCCCTTCTCCAATCTCTTTATCCAAATTCCCTCCAACTGGGAGACTTGTTGGTAAATATATTAGGATCCCCAATGATGACACAGTAGGATTAAATTTATCTCTCTCTGGTTTAACATTACACTCAATTTATATAATTAAGCTGTGACTATTATAGAGAGAACTTGTATATGTGTTTTCTTCAGGCATTTAAGTTGTGAATCTCTGACTTTGTACACATCCCATTTATAATTAATTGTATACCCAACCCAAGGGTTTTGCAACACCTGGACAGCAACTAAACTGTCTCAAACAACAGCACCATCTAGTGATCAGTACAGCAAACTGTCTAATCCCACCTTTTTTACCTCTGTAACCAAGGTACATATGCTAAACCTCACCCTTTCCCACTGCTCAAGTAACCGAGTTAATGCTACTTCAGCTTTCTCTCACACATTATATTTAACTCCTTTTACTTTTCCTCATTTCTTCCACATCTTCTTTAGCTTAAGAATCTTTCATTTGACTCTGTTCCCCAACCAGTTTGTAAGTCTTTCATTGAGGGCACTCATCTTGTTCATACCCACTCACCTTTTCGTCTCTTAATTAAGTCAATTCGTCGTTCTTTCACTTCTGAACTCAGATTATCTACCATCTTACTAATGCAATTGTCCAGAACCAGGGAAGGGGTTTTAGACTTGATGTCCTTCCGACAAATAGGACATTCTACCTTCCGCTTCATCCATTCATTGATACAGTAGGAGCAGAAACTGTGGGCACAGTTCAAGGTGACAGCCTGCAATGGGAACGTGAACACACACATCAGAACTGTCATGCTCACCTTCCCAGGGTGGTTGTGATCTCAAAGCTAGGCAAGGCCAAGTGGATTTTTAAACATAATCCTATCTAGAGTGCTTACAAAGGGTACCAGAATCATTCTTGGGGATGGAAAATTTTAAGCTTCAAGTTAAGACGATTCATTTTCTTTCTCAAAATTAAGTTCACAGACGCAGGCCCCAGGAGGCAAATTTCTCTGTCTTGTACCACCAACTCAGGCCACAGCCAAAATGGGTTAGCTACTTTGCAAACAAATGTCATTGGACACAGGGTGGACTCGTAAGCATGTGAATATTTGGTGAAAATACATTACTAATTCTTATGAAAAACAAATTTGTGTCTTGCTAATGGAGAATCAGAACCTCAATTTTAATATAGAAAGGGAAGCACACACGGAAAACAATATAGGATGGTAGGAGTCCTCTCTATTCAAAAGAAACCAAAAAAGTAAAATAAATGTAAAAGGCAACTAAAAAGGCTGAAGAAAAAGGAAAAAATGGAAACACTGTAATGGGCTCACTGACAGTGCCTGAACCCCTGAGTGAATAAGCCTGTTAGAAGGGAGAAAGCAGAGAAGCCATCATTTGAGGGGCTCCTCTGAGTAAACCCATTTCTGGTCGCATTTCTGCCAGGGTGCTGTTCATCCCCAATAATATAAACCATTCTCTTCATTCCCCTTGTTTATGTATGTCTCCTAAGACACAACTTTTCTGAAGCTCAAAAGTCTTCATTCCTGCTTTTAGGATGGCATGGAAAATAACACAGAAATTATGTATGTTTCAAAAGCCAAATTGAACCCAGAAAGCTAACTAGGAGACAATCTGTTTATTCTAGGAGGTAAATTCTTATAGACAGCACTAAAAACCTTTCTGATTAAAATGAAACCTCTTGCCCTGTCTGGTTTGGCTCCATGGTTAGTTAGAGCGTCGGCCCACAGACCAGAGTCCCAGGTTCGGTTTCCACTAAGGGCACATACCTCGGTTGCAGTTTGTCCTCGGCCCCTGTTGTGGTCATGTGGGTGGCAACCAGTCAATGTTTCTCTCTCTCTCTTCCTCCCTCTCTCCCTCTCGCTCTATCTGAAGATGAATGCAAAAAAAAAAAGTCCTCGGGTGAGGATAAAAATAAATAAATAAAATAAAATGAAACCTCTTTCCGACACTGACTTTAAGAGGTAACCAGGCCCGGCCAGTGTGACTCAGTGGTTGAGCACTGACCTATGTACCAAGAGGTCACTGGTTTGATTCCTGGTCAGGGCACATGCCCAGGTTCTGGGCCAAATTCCCAGGGGGGGGGCATGCAGGAGGTAGCCAGTCGATGTTCTCTCTCACTAATGTTTTTATCTCTCTCTCCCTCTTCCTCTAAAATCAATAAACAAAAAATATTTTTAAAAAAAGAGGGGTGACCAGTAGAGCCCTGGCCGGTTTTTCTCAGTGGTTAGAGCATCAGCCCGTGGACCAGAGAGTCCTGAGTTCGGTTCCTGCTAAGGGCATGTACCTTGGTTGCAGTTTGTCCCTGGCCCTGGTTGGGGTCATGTGGGTGGCAACCACTTGATGTCTCTCTCTCACGTCGATGTTTCTCTCTTTCACCCTATCTTAAGAAAAATGCAAAAATGTCCTCAGGTGAGGATAAAAAATAAACAAAACAGAGGTGACCAGTAGAAAGGCAGGCGGTATGCAGTAAACAAAACACAGGTCATGCTGTCTTTGTGCCTGTCTGTGCAGATGCTCCAGGTTGGCTAACTTATCCCCTGTTCCAAGCCCCCTTTCCTAGTCTTCCCCTGATACCGTCTGTAAGCCCTGTGAAAACAATACTAACTGAGCTTCTCCTAAGTAGGAAACCAAATGACTAGAAATTACAGGGAAATTTATGACCTGATGTCAATGTGGACCCAGAGCAAAACAGGTCTGCTCGGAAGAGATATTTCGGGAGACTAGAAGACTCAACCTTGTAAAGACCACCAGAAAAAAAGGAAGCAGTGTCAGCATGTGATTTCCTTTGTAAAGGAACCTGAAAAACACTGTCTCTTAACAACTTGAATTTAAATTTGTGATATAAGAAGAACTGGTCACAAATGGTAGAATTTGCAAAAAATAAAGAGTCTGTGCAAAAATATGACAGGGTAACCAATGGTAACCTAGGAGGGAGATGTTTCATTTTCATAAGGAGCCTCAGAGTCCCGGAAACATGTTCCACTTCTGTGCTGAATTCCCAATGACCACACATCAGCATATCACAGCCCTGTTTAAAGGCTGCACTACACGCCCACTCTCAGCACAGTGCCCATTCAGAGTAAGAACAACAACAAAGAGATAAAGGCTTTACTACAGCTAAACATATTGATCATACCAAGTAAATATTCAAGAATAAATGAAATAAGAAAAAGGACAGTAAAGTTAAAGAACACTACAAAAACAAATGAGAGGTGGCCACCTCTAGAGGTCACTTTGAAGTCAGATAGCTATAAGAAGTTCCTGCAAGAAAAAACTCTTCAGAATGTTCCCCTATAGCACAAGCAGCCTGAGTAGCTGAGGCTCCCAGGGTTGGAAAATGACAAGGTTTATGTGAGCCATACTTCATAATTACCTCAATGAAATATTCTGAGCAGATAATACACTGGAGCTCATTCTCTAGCACATCATTCATGTGGCTAAGAACTTCCTCTTTCTGTGCTTGCACCTTCTCCTTCTCTTCCTGTAAAGACACACAACCCCACCTGTCATTCAGGAGGACCAATAAGAATGCAAAACAGGATGGGGAGCAGGGCTACCTGGAACAGGATCCAGAAGGAGTCTAAATTAAAAATTCATCCTGGTGGAGCAACACAGAGAATAAAACACCTTCCCTAAGGGTTACTATTTCTCAGAACTGCTTTCTAATATGGGGCACTATCTTCTTTCTTTCCTAAGTTTTTTCAGTATTTGTATGGTAGTTTCTGTCTCCTTCCCAATTAACCAGATAGAAAAACTGAAGGTAGCAGCATACTAACCCCACCAACCACCCAAGTCCAGAATGAGACATTAAGTATCCCAAAGCAAACTACAGTTCAGCGGTGATATAAAATCATCCCCAAACCAAAAACTCACTGGACAAAACAGAAGACATAAAGAACAGCCCAGAGGCAGGAAGTGTGAATTAGTGTATGAGGCCCCTTGTGCTCTTTGTTGCTGCCTCTTTCAAAAAATAAGGATAATCCCTATATTCCACGGAGGCTGGAACAGTGGCCTCTTGAAGTATCTTCAGGCCCCAAGCGCTACACACGCCACGTCCCACGCCTGCAGAGGCCTGCGGTGCAATTCCCTGTGCTTTCCCCAAGTGGTCAGACTGCATTTTTAGGGAGCATCCTAGGTGTGCTCTCTTGAAGCAGATATTTAAGTTAGCACCTCATCCCCAATAAGAAAGTGTCAGGATCCTCAGGGAGAGAGGAAATGACATTTAGGGAATATAGGTGATTCATTTTTCATTTTGTATTTCCTCTTCTAATCAAGGCAAAGACTGTCAGACTGCTTATGGCAGTGAAGGAGGTCTGGACCCATTTGTAACTGGAGTCAAGTTCCCTAAACACTCATGAATTGCTGGGTTTAAAAAGACGGTGGTGCCTTGGCCAGTTTGGCCCAGCAGTTGGAGCGTCGGCCTGTGGTTCCAAGAGACCCAGGTTCAGTTCCCGCTAAGGGCACGTACCTCGGTTGCAGTTTGTCCCCGGCCCTGGTTGGTCATGTGGATGGCAGCCACTCGATGTGTCCCTTTCATGTCGATGTTTCTCTCTCTCTCTCTCTCTGTTTCTCTCTCTCCCTCCCACTCTACCTGAACAAAAAAAAAAAGGAAAAATGTCCTCGGGTGAGGATAAAAAATAAAGACGGTGGTTTCTTGGAGGTTGGGAAAGAAGGTACAGAGGATCAGGCTATCGAACTGAAAAGAGAGTCCCCTCCTTCCTGTGCTCTGCGCCAGGGCTGTATGTGAGGAGTGGCGGGCTGAGAGAGGTACTGGGCTCAGGCAGTAACTGCAGGTCAGAGGTTGTGAACTGATGGCATGTGGACTGGATCCAGCCTACAGACCTGTTCAGTTTGGCCCTTGTGGTATTGAAAAACAAAACAGAAAGCTGAACGTGTTGCCAATATTTGAAAATTGGGGTATTTTATTAAACATTTGGATTTCCACCTTCTGTGGAAAACTCAAAAGACCTGACAACACTGGGCTTGCACTTCTAGATGGAAACATCTGGCTGCATCAGAGCTGTTTCTTGGGGTGGTGGTGGGGGCCAGAGGCCCCTTTCCCATGCACCTCTGTCCTCACAGGACACTTGACTCACTTCCATACAGGTCTGACCTCGGAGGGCACGCGAGTTAATAAGCCCTAACTTAAGAGTTCCACTGACTTGATGTGGGAAATAATTACATAAATACATGAGGATGAACTACTTTTTACTTTGACTAGAGCACTCCTTAGCCTATGTCAGTGGGACATGCTGAAGGGGTACCTACTGTAGATAATGGATTACACTGTAGGATGTGTGTCTTATCCCTAACATTTCGCTTCTGAATGAGGGAAAGAACAGATGTTGTCTTACAGGCTGAACCTTCTATAGGTCTGAGTAATTTTACAGATTATTTCCCCTGAGGCCAGGAACAGCCATATACTCTCTCTCACAATTCACCATAGCAACCCTGCACTGCTGAAAATGCTGAGTTGCACGTACTAACCAAATTCTAAACCTTCATCTTCTTTCTAGTACCTTGGTCTGCTCCAATTCTTTGTTCTTGGCTTGAATGATTGCTTCAAAGTCCTTCCTGCTGCGGTTTAGCTCTTCCATTAGAGCCTGATGCTGCAGAAACACAGTAGATACACACTCAAGACAAGCTACAATACATCCTTCCTTTTAGCCACACATGCCTGCAACCCCCCTCTCCCAGAGGCATTAGTTCAAGGGATCAATGGACTGGCAATTTCAAAATAATGCCTCTGTTCCTTTGGAACACCTCACTTACCTGCTGCTTTTCTTTGGGGAAGGGGGCAAATAGGGAGGGAGGCCATGAAATCTATTAACCCCTCTGGACATAACTCAGCCTCCATTGCCGTCTGGATCAATGGAGGAAATGCCTTCCAGGGAGTCTGATTCTGCAGGTGTTGCTGGGGGCCCAGGAATGTGCATTTTTTAAAAAGCCACTGAAGTGATTCTAAAGACCAATGCTTAAGAACTGATAAGTGACTTTGAGGCTACCCAGCACAGGGAGTGGGTTTTTAAGAAATAACCAGTGAGAAATGGGAATCAGGGATTTCATTTTTGTTGACATAAAAAAGACCTATAACCTATTGATTCTACAAATCGTACACCACACACTCACAAGGCAGTGCTCTGCCTGTGTGTTCTGGAACCCAGCATGCCTAAGAGCAAACAGCCTGTTCATTGTGACTACCACCTACACGACTGGCAAGGTTCCACTTCTATGAAACCCAATTGCTGAGCTCCCTCATGCTTAAGTATAGCTTATACTTTAATCTCACCCAAATCCCTTTTTTAAAAAGGTGGAGTAAAGGTAACTATTTCTGAAAAGATATTACTCAAGAAACAAACTTTAAAATGTGTGGTCTCGCCCTGGCCAGTTTGGCTCAACGGTTGGAGCGTCGGCCTGCGGTCCAGAGAGACCCGGGTTCGGTTCCCGCGAAGGGCACGTACCTCGGTTGCAGTTTGTCCCCGGCCCTGGTTGGTCGTGCAGGTGGCAGCCACTCGATGTGTCCCTTCACATTGATGTTTCTCTCTCTCTCTCTTCCTCTCTCTCCCTCCCGCTCTATCTGAACAAAAAATGGAAAAATGTCCTCGGGTGAGGATAAGAAAAAATAAATAAATAAAATGTGTGGTCTCCTGAGAAAAGCAGCTACATCAGAAGGCCTGGGTATTCATTCAACTTGACTGCTAATTAGATGTGTGTGGTGACTTTCTCATCAACACGGTAAAACAGGTGCCTCTTCCACATTAGTGTTAATAATAAAATAACAGGCATGAAAGCATTCAGAAAAGTTTTTAAGCTCTACATAAATGCAAGTTGTTATAATGATCTGGTAAATGAAAAAGAATAGCTTCAGAGGGACCAACAGGGTGGACCCAATACAGCCATGTTTCAGTTGAGAAGCTGTGTCCCCCAGGCATGCTGCTGTAGAACCATGACCTAAAACTCTCCCATTTAGGCTAACACATGGAGATTGGCCCAGTGCCTCACGTAAAATGACAGTGTTTTCCTGGCTGTCTTCAGGAGACAGTGAGGAGTCGTGGGTGCAGAGTACTCAGTGATCCCTCAGGGATTTCCAAGTAGCAGAACCTCGCTCTTTTCCAGTCAATTTCAAAATAGTATCTGAATATTAATTTAATAATGCTCTAAATGGGAAACATGTCTGGCCTCCTACCCAAGAAAATAAACTTAGAAACTAAAAGTCCAAAAAACTGAATTAATTTTCACATAATTCTTTCCAAAGCTGTTTGTGCACCCCTCAAGGAAATCAAGGCAGGCACTTCCCAAGCTTTTAATAACATGTGACTGCACGCACTATAAGAAGGCTGGGAGGCAGAGATGCAATAAAGAGCTGTTAGGGTAAATTATTCCAAACAAACTCTAATACCATCGCTCACTTTTTCCAAGGAGACATGAACCATCCCACTACCCTGACTAAACCTGCATCAAACTCCTCATTTTAACACATAAAGGATGGAACCCAAAGCAGGTTTTAAAGATGCAAGAATGTTTATAAAAATAATCAAATGACAGAAGTAGTCAAGTTAAATGAAATAAATCACAGGCTATCTTTTAGAAGAATTTTATTCCTGTGAGCCCTGCCATTTCAGTAAATCAATATGTTTTGCTGACTGTATAACTGCACATTCTCTACCTGACCTAAAATGCTTAATTGGAACATTCTCGAATGGTTTCTAGATGGTTTCAGCTCAGGAACAGTGAGGCAACGAAGGCCCCTGCAGGCCTTGGTGGTGCCCAGTCATAGCTCACGATTCCCCTCTGCTGCCTCACCTTTCCGGGAGTGCAGCCACTTCCCCAGAGCCTCCTAATTGCTACGGGCTCCACTCCATCTTCACTAGAGCAGCTTCTGCTCAGATGAAGATGTAAATTTTCATGCTGAGGTCTGGCATGTCTGCGAGGCTCCAATCTCCGACCTGATGGTGTGAGCAGCTGCTACCTGCTCTATCTACAGACTGGAGGTGCCGCAGAGGTGTGTGCTAAGCAGCAGAGCCTGGCTGCCTCCCACCCCACAGCCCACAATGGCAAGATAAGTTACCTCCTGCAGAGCCTGGGCCAGCTGTTGCTTCAGGTCCTCTTCTCCTTGCTCCTTCTCCAAACCCTGAAAAAGCCAAAAACAAAATGGAAGGTTTCCCGGCAGGGAGGGAAAAAAAGGCAACAAAATCCAGCAACAAGCAAAGCAGACCAGCTAGCATGAGCATCTGGAAACAACAGGGGGCAGGAAGCAGGTAGAAAATTTCCCATTTTACTTCAAGCTATTGGCAGTAAGGGATTTAAGCAGAGTTAACTGCTTAAATACTGCTCACCTCGGGGCTGTCAGTTTTAAGCCACCACTCAGGCTGTTCTGGAGAAACTGTGGGCTAATCCTCCAAGTCTCCTTTACCACAAATGCTATGATTCCCAAAAGGATGTAAAGTGAAAGGATCTTAGCTGCCGACTATCTAAACACAGATGTAATCCCCCAGGCGAGCACCCACGGGGTCTTCCATGCTTCTCCCTTGATTCTGGGCACTCTCCATCTCTCACGCTGAGTCTCCACCACTTCCAACCCATGAACTGCTCCTCCTCCCACCTTGACTGAGCTTAGGCTATATTTCCTCCATCGTCCCCCTTGATAGGGTGCCTTCCATATCATCATTACGCTACGTCCAGCACCTTCCAGAACCTTTGGGCCCTTCCTTCTTACTTTAAGAATTATCTATCTAATATGCTACTTGAAATTGTTCTCTAATTTAAATATATGAACTTAAAACTGTTATGATGATTTTATGGGTATAATACATTTACTAAGCATCTTTATAACCAACAGAACCCAAGTGTAGTACCAGGCAACATGGATGCTCAAAAAAAAGCATGTGTGTGAAGCAGGAAGGGTTAAATGAGTTTCTGAACAAGAAGTTGGGATAGGATAAATCCCTAGAGCTTGGTGGCAGAGGGAAATCCAACCAATAATTAAAGGACTAGATACTATGAACCATTTACATGCAAACCTCTCACACTTGGAGACATCTTCTAAGCCAGTCCTTCTGGCCTCCCTTTACCATTTGGTATAGGAAAGACTTTACAGCTATTCCTTGCAGCATGTCCAGAGCAGCCACAAATATTAATTAACAGTAACTCTTGTTCCTGAACACATTAGCCTTTAAAGAGAGTTCTGCTCCAGGAAAGGTGGCATAAAGCAAATATGGAGATAAAGCTCCCTCTATTAATTTCAAGAACTAGTCCATGCTGGATAAGGGAAGCAAAAAGGTACATACAAGCAGTGTATCCCCTTAGAAAGACCTATTTAATCCATGGCCTCTGCTAATACTACCAGTTCAAAGGGATAAGAGATTAGAATACAATTTATAAATTGTTCAGAAATGAGAGAACACTATTGATTGTTCCTTGCCCTGAACAAAGTAAACAAAAGATAAAAGCTTCTTCACTTCAGTTCTAATTGGCCTGTCTTAGTTCTAAGTCAACAATGGGGAATTCTTGGCATTTAATATTACCTGAGCAAGTAGGCGGAGTAAACCTGTGGAACTGACATTCTGAGCAAGGACCAGGATCAGCTCTAGCCTAGAAGCTTTTTACAAGAGCTTGTCATCTAAGAAAATGATTTGGGGATTGGGACTCATTCGGCCTTATCTTAACACAGCTAAGAGAGTCGATATTATACCTTCTCAATAAAGGCACTGTGGAAGGTGGCTTATCACTCAACCCAACAACTGAGTCATGGTGTACCAGACCCTCCCATGCTGGCTGCTCAGGATAGAAAGAAAAGCATTTTCTGCCTCTGTAGCCTCCCACATCCTAGCTTAGCTACAGAGCTAACAAGTTACCAGGTACATCAAGGGCAGAGTAACCAGCTGACCTGTACCTGCCTTGGGGCTGATTTGGCTTTGACCACAGAGCAAAGAAAAATAACTCATGAGGATAACTATTGATTTAAATGGAGTGTACTGGCCCTGGCTGGTTTGGCTCAGCAGTTAGAGCATCAGCCTGTGGACCAAAGAGTCTTAGATTCTAATTCGATTCTGGTCAAAGGCACATATCTCGGTTGCAGTTCAGTTCCTGGCCCTGGCTGGGGCTGTGCGGGAGGCAGCCAGTCAATGTCTCTCTCTCACATCAATGTTTGTTTCTCTCTCTCTCTCTCTCTCTCTCTCTCTCTCTCTCTCTCTCTCCCCCCCTCCCTCCCTCCCACTCTATCTGAAGATAAATGGAAAAAAAATCCTCAGGTGAGGATTAAAAACTAATTAAATAAATAAATAAAATAGAGTATACTGTAGTTTTGTGGCATCCTGACCTTCATCCAACCTCTCTCTGAATTTACCTCAGTTCTGAGATGCCTCAACTTTACATCCTGAGATCAGTTACATCCTGGGGCTAGCTCTGCCCATCACCTTACCCCATCTTGGCACCCCAGCTCTGGCTCTCGATCTGATCATACTGAAGCCTTAACCTTTGACTCAACCCCCTTCTCTTACCTCACTGTTTTCTGTTCCCATTTCATCTCCTTTCACAAACACTCAGCATTTGGTCCCTGACCCAGAAAGAGAGCTCTGGCCAGAGGCTCAGAGGGCCTGCCCACCCCTAAGAGGCACTCATCCTTCCCTCCTGTGTGGTACCTGGAGATACTGCTGCTCCTCCTTGAAAGTCTTCTCTAGCTGCTCCACTCTGGCCTGCTGCTGGACCTGCTCTGCACAAAGCTGGGACTGTAAGTCCTGCAGTTCCTGCTCCATTTGCACAATATCCTTTGAGTTCCCTTTTTGGGTCTGCATTTTCTCATTCAGAACAGCTACCTGTTTTTCCTGCATCTGTGTTTTGAGCTTCAGAATCCTAGACATGGTCACTTTAAACAGCTCTAACCTGCTCTGAGATGCTAATGGGTTTGAGGTTTTCTGCTTCTTAAAATGAAGCGCCAGGACTTTGGTGGGGCCAGAGTAAACATGAACCCCTGTAGTGTTCTCACTTGGCTCAAGAGAAGTCAACTGAGGTTCCAAATGTTCAGAGGGTCGGCTGGCCATTTCACCTTTCCCATGTGACTTCAGTGGTTGACCAGGTTCACGAGATACTTTACTTAATTTGAATTTCAAATGTGAGGGGCCTTCAGCTTCAGGACCCTCTAATTCATCCAAACTGCATTTCCTTTTAGTTCTCAAGCCCTTATTTTTTTCCATCTGGTCACTCGTTGGGGCAAGATAAGGATATATCTTCTCACAGTCTTCTTCAGTAACTTCATATTCATACTCTGCATTCTCCTTATTTTCCAGAGGCACCCCAAGCTGGATTCGGTCTCCCATATGGATAGAATAGACCTGTAAAGGTTCTAGACGTACTCTGTTCAGCCAAACACCATTCAGACTCTGGGAAAAGGGAAAGAAAGACGAAATAAGCTTCATGATTTTCCTCCTCTTAATGGAATGTCTCCCCTGCTCCTGCAAAACCTTCAGCCTTTTCAGAAGAAAAACCCTTGAGAACAAATAGAAAAGAAAGGTTCATAAACCACCATCCTTAGAAACAGCATTCTTCAAACAGCAGTTTGGCTTTTTACCTATATTTCACATTCATGCCTCCACAGAGAACTGCCTGTATAACAGGCAGGGATCATCTTATTACTGGTAGATGAATTACTCAAATAAATGCAGTAGCATTGAAAGAAACTGAAATTTAATAGCTCCTGTTGACCTAAACTGAAGGTAATGGCTCAGGACTGAAAAACTGTGATTAGTAACGAAAGTGGCACCTACTAATGAGGCTCAAAATGGAGGCCTGACCAGGAAAGTCAAGCAAGCGCTGTCTCTGGATGTGCCCCTGAACACATTGGTGAATGAGCAAAGCACTTTCCACTACACACAAATAAAAAAAGGAAGTGCCAGTACTTGTCCTGGGTCCAACTGCAGGTGATCTGACCCAGCGCATAGCACCAGAGGTCCATGGGCATACAGCATAGTGGTTAAGAGCTGGAGCTCTAGACTCAGATAGACTTGGGCTCTTAACCTACTGCACCACCCTGGGCTTATTAGTTTCATGGCCTTCGGCAACTTACTTAACCATTCTGTGTCTCAGTTTTGTCTATAAAATAGGGATAGTACAGTACCTACCTCATATGATTCCTGTGAAGAAATGAGGAAACACCTGTAAAACACTTAGCACAGTGACTCTCATATAAATAAATGCTTTATGGTCTTAGCTAAATCATAGTTTAGGGGTTAAGAGCATGGACCCTAGAGTCAGACTGTCTCAGTTTGTGATCTGGCTCGATCACTTAATAGCTGTGTGATTTGGGGCAAGTTTCTTAACTTCTCTATGCCCCAGTTACCACATCTATAAAATAGAAAATAATACTAGTCTCTCCCTCATGGCATTGGTATGGATTAAATGAGATAACATATATAATATACTTAGAAAAGTGTCTGGCACATGGTAAGCATTATATAAGTGCTCTCTACTATTATGTTCTGGCTCGATTTATCAACAATCACTTCAATTCTATGCTCAGCATCTTGCAAAACAAATATTCCAAGTGCAAATGGGAAGATATGAAAACAACTTTTAGCAGCTGACTGTAGAAAGCAAAACACAAGGGCACATATAAATAAATGTGGGATTATATGGCACAACTTATAAATGCAATGGAATGTTATGTGAAACTGGGTTAGCTAAGAGATGCTAAATGGAAATGATGGGTTCTAAAACACTTGGAACACATGCAGAATGTAGAGTCTGGAGAAACAAGGAGGTATTTTAACCCATATCAAGGACTTGACTTTGGGGGACAGGCCAGAGATGAAGCTCACAGCTGAATTGGTACTAAGGTTTATGTTAATTTTGGTAACTATAACTACCTACTTTTAGCTATATCAGTTACCTGGTTCACCCAGATAGACATGAGGGATGGGGCCTTGACCACTGGGCACAGAGGATAAAGGGGAGTAGAGATCAGATTTCAGCACTGGTTTGGGATTAAGTCCTTGTTTCTGGTTTTATATCATTTGGCTCCAGCGGAAAGAGGAAAAGAAAGGTAAGCATAGATATAGATACAGATATATATACAGAAAGACTGGTTTTAACCCACTGCCGTGAGCCTAACCTAGCTTATCTGGCTAACTTTTCCCAGCCTTTCTATTCATATTCAGCCTGAGAAACTATGAGGAATGATGAGTTCTGCTGACAACATGTGGGAAAAGAACAAAGGAGGGGGATGGAGGTTAGAAGAATTTATTTGAAAACAATTTTATATCAGAATAGATAATGCATAGGAAAAAAGCTTCAGGAAAAGTAATATGACCCAGAAGGCTACCTAATGCCAAGGTATAGACATTTAAGAAAAACCTCAAAGGCAAAGATAAGGTTAAATAAAGAAAGAAGGTTACAGAAGCAGCCCAAGACCAGAGAGAATAGGGGATCCTTAAAAAGGTGGGGCAAACTTTCAAGACACACTGCAGCCCTCCACTAGATCCTCTGCATTAAGTTGCTTCCTTCAGAGCCCTTTAGGCCTGGAAAATAAGCTTTCAAATTTTCCCCATCACATTTTATCCTCAGATCCTTCTATGTTTACCCATTCATCACTTCCTGGTGACACCTAGTGGTATAATTTGGACCACAGCCCTCAGTTAGGTGTGTTCACAAGGTAAATATAGAAAAGGATGAAAACACCATGGCTAGATAAGAACAGTCAAGTACTGTCTAGGAAATAATCTCAAATACAACAGTTTAAATAAATCAAACTCTGCTCAAGCCTTTCTTGATGTGGTTTTCATAATCACCAGTTTGAACAACGTCAGCAGCAGCAAAGTGATAACCAAAAAACGCCTGCCTAACGTCTCTTCGCCATCAATGGGGAAAAGGTGGGATAGCCACACTCCCTATACAATAATTACTTCACCTGATGCTCAACTTCTGTCCAATGTTTTTAATCAGTTGTTGAAGACAGTGAAACCCAAATTCAAAAGGCAATATTTTCTTGGCGTTTTCTAGATGATTTATGTTGCTCAGTTATTCTCAACCCTAACTACTCATTGAAATCACCTGGAAATGTTTAAAACAAATAACAATGCCTGACTCTCATTCTCAGACTGAGTTAATTGGTCTGAGAGTGGAACCAGGCATAAGGATTTTTAAAGTTAGGCTTATATACAAACACATACAATGTATAAGTGTATCAAGTCACAGTGCCCCTTTCCAGCCAACCCCTCCCCCATTCCCAGGCCACTACTCATCTGTTCTCTGCCCTGCCCACATAGATTTGTCTTTTCTAGATTATTGTATAAATGGAATCATACTGTATGTAACCTTTTTGAGTGTGTCTTCTTCACTTAGCCTACTCTGAGACTCACCCACATTGTTATATTAACAGTTTAGTTTTTTTTAGTATTGCTGACTAGTATTCCACGGCATGGGTGTATGAGTTTGTTTATCCATTCCCTAGTGGTTTTCCCCAGTTTCTGGTAATTAAATAAACCTACAATAAACATTCATGTACAAGTTTCCGTGAGAACTTAAGTTTTCATTAATTTGGGGTAAGCACCTAGAAATAGAATCACTGGGTAAGTGTATGTTTAACTGTGGGAAACTGCCAGACTGGTTTCAAAGTGGCAGTACCATTCTGTATTCCCACATGCAATGCCTAAGATTCCAGATACTCTACATGCTCACCGGCACTTGGTATTATTATTATTATTATTATTATTATTATTTTTGTTGTTGTTGTTGTTGTTCAGGTAGAGTGGGAGAGAGAGAGAGGAACAGAGAGAGAGAAACATCGATGTGAAGGGACACATCGAGTGGTTGCCACCCGCACAACCGACCAGGGCCGGGGACAAACTGCAACCGAGGTACGTGCCCTTGACTGGAATTGAACCCGCGACTCATTAATCCACAGGCCGACGCTCTAACCGCTCAGCCAAACCTGCCAGGATGGCACTTGGTATTATTTTATTTCAGCAATTCCAACAGGTGTCTATCAGTCAATATTTTTTTAATGCTTCACTAAAACATAACACAAAACCAATAAAAGTATACACGTAATAAATATACAACTAGATGAATAACCACAATGTAAACATCTCAGTGTAACAACCACAAAGTTAAAAAAAACACACAACTCCAAACAAACCCATTTATCAGCATCCCAGAAACCTCCTTTTGCCTCCTCTTAGTCCCTAAGCCTCTCCCCAGCCCCATAAGATGACTACTAACTAGCCTGGCTGAACATCACACATTAATTTTGTCTGGTTTTGACATTATATAATTGGCATTACATATGTATTCTTTGGTGTCTTTTTTCATTCCATACTATGTCTATGGATTTATCTGTGTTGTTGGATATAGCAGCAGTTCATTCACATTCATTACAGTATAGTCTTTCACTGTGAGTACATTCCAGTTTATTTCTCCATTATACCGTCAATGGACATTTGGGCTGTTTCCCTGTGAGTGAAAATATTGTCATGGGGTATATATAAGTGCAACTTCAATAAATAATGCCAAATACTTTTCTAAAATAGTTGTACCAACTTACACTTCTACCCAAAGATGACTTTTGTTCCATATCCTTTCTAATACCTGGCACCTTCAGTATTAATTATAGCTACTTGGGTGGGTGTGCAGTGCTATTCCATCCTGGTTTTAATCTGCATTTCCCTGATCATTAATGAGGCTGAACAACTTTTCATGGATGTTGAACATTTGGGTACAATCTTTTGAACATTTGGGTACCTGTGTTATTTTTCTTTTTTTTAAGATATGGAGTTCTGTATATATCCAATAAGTCCTTCATTGGTTATGTGTAACAAAAATCTTTCACTCTGAGCTTGTCTTTCACTCTCTTAATGGTGTCTTTTGGTGAATAAAGTTCAACAAAAATCTTTCACTCTGAGCTTGTCTTTCACTCTCTTAATGGTGTCTTTTGGTGAATAAAGTTCTTAATTTTAATGTGATATCATCAATATTTTTTTAAAGTACCCCAGGTAAGGACAAAAACTGAAAACAGGGCTAAGAACCACTGCTCTGGTTGCTGGGGACCAGAAGCTGAACTGTCCCAAGCAGTAAGGTATGTTCAAGAAGTATGACTCACCAGAGACTTTAAATGCCAGAGCCTACGATAGGATCAAAGCAGGAATCACTAAGTAGCAGGTGAAGAGCAATGTGATAGGAGGGGAAGAATGGAAAAGGCTTACATGATATGCCTTGAGTCTCTAGGACTGGAGATAAACAAACCCACCAAAGCATTTCAGATTGTGACTTTGAAACAATGAATTTTCTGAAACAGCTGGATATCAATACATAGGATGAACTATCTGAAGAGCTACTCAATTAACCGCACTCTACACAATTGCAACCATCACCTGCTGTGTGTACAGAG